TTCCTTTAGAATAGATAGCTTCTGTTAACATGGTCAACTCATTAGAACATGTGTACGAATGACTTGCTTTCCTTTAGAATAGATAGCTTCTGTTAACACGGTCAACTCATTAGAACATGTGTACGAATGACTTGCTTTCCTTTAGAATAGATAGCTTCTCTTAACACGGTCAACTCATTAGAACATGTGTACGAATGACTTGCTTTCCTTTAGAATAGATAGCTTCTCTTAACATGGTCAACTCATTAGAACATGTGTACGAATGACTTGCTTTCCTTTAGAATAGATAGCTTCTCTTAACATGATCAACTCATTAGAACATGTGTACTTTTTTATATCTGGAGAAGAATACAATTTTTATCAGAAAATGACTTCAAAATGTTTATAGTAGGAACAGAAATCCTATTAACTCAGTACAGTGCATACTTATTTAAATACATCAACTTAAAATAGTGTTATTAATGATGTTACTTGACAGATTTTTGGTATTTTGTTTGTAGTATGTACACAGTAAAAATTGTTCACATTTTCCTCATATATGGAAAGCCTAAAGTTTTATCTACCTTTTTATTGTTAAGTTTTAATATTGTTTCATTGCAACTTCATTATGCCAGAAAGTATTCATCTTTCAGAAAACAATTTTTACCTAATTATAATAAGATAAAATGTTTATTTCCTCAGCTAGTTTTCAAAATCATTATTTCTTAATTATAAGCTGATTGACTTACACTTGTACTGCTATTAGCTGAACAAGTTACATTTATACTTATTCTTTTTTACTGATTTTTACTTGTGTTCTTTTTACTGGTTTTTACTTAAAATTGTTTCACTGAGTAATTTCTGAAGCAGTTTATCTACAAATAAATAGCAACAAGAGTGCTGAGATTTGACTTTTGAAAGTGGGGATTCACCGCTTGAGCTCTTACCACTTGGAAACAGATGTAAACATGGACTGCTGTGTGGGCTAGACGTCTTCAATTTGACTTAATCCAGTTAACAACAGATTTATTTAAAATACAGATTTACAGTCATGAGTGGAGTATACAAATCACTAACTCAAGGAAGTTTACAGTTAGAATAAAGAATTGACTAGGAGACTGAGATTCAAAATACAAACAACACTTTAATACAATATATTAAGATAGTTGGCTACACTGAGATTACCGAAGGTATCTTCAAACATTTCAATTTTTCAATCTGAGCAGGTAACTATACTTCATTTAAACTCTCTATAATATCCATTAAATTACTTAATACTATAAGTAAGTTATCAATTAATACATTGATTGAAAACAGCTCAGACATAACTTTCATTAATTCTTTAATATTAAACACTGTATATTCAATTTTTAACTACATTACTTGACTCTGGGAGAGATAGCATTAGTTACTTACACATCTTCATAGGTGCCAAGAGATTGTAAAGATTTCAGTTGACAAACTAGCAGCAGGACCAATGGCTTCTTCTTATGAGTCAGGAGACTGATTTTTTTTGCCCCAAAACATGGGTTTTTATATGGATTTCTTTTGTATTATTACGATTCTCTAAATAGTGTACACATCCAACTCGCAAGTAGATCTGTCACTTAGTTGGATGAATATTGTTGACTCATTGTAATTCTCGGAACTCAAACCAAAACTAATTCAACAATTGGTTATGATTGAAGATGACAACTTGGCAGCCTATTTACATCAATTTATTTTTGTCCTCTTCAGATCCAAGTTCTACCCAGAGTCTAGTTTCTTTACTAATTCCTTTTATGGAAATCGTCTCTAGTTTCTAAGGAATTTAATATAAACTTTCTCATAGCTTTCTCTCTGCTGCGATGTCATCAGTCTATAGATAATCTAAACAGTTGATTCTCAGTACCGCCTGGAATGCATCTTAGTTTACACTTGATATAGATATATTTCTATTCTTGGTCAAGCAACGTTGTGTAACTCCTTGTATGCATTCATTAGATGTGCCCAACTTTTCTTTATATTTCTCATTTCTTGAAGTTTTTGAAAGTAGCATAAAAATGCCTCATAATGCTACAAATGCTTCACAGAAAAATAGTTTCATTTTTAACTTTATTTGTTTTAGTAAGAGTAAAGGTTGTTTGTTTTATTTACTGAGAACAGCTGTTATAAAATAAACATGATGTGGTTTTTCTTTTAAACATAAATATTTCTAACCATAAAACTCAAGAATTCATAAAACTAATCCAAAACAGATGTTTGATAGACATCTGACTACTTAATGTAAGTTAAGATGCTTTAATGATATTTTCATGGGTGGGGTCAAAGTATGCATGCCACGACCTTTTGCGGAGTACCATTTAACATGGTATTGTGTATTTGATTTCAAAGTTATCAACTGTTCATTTTACCCTACATTCTGATTTAGTAATAGTTTGTGGTAGAGAAGAGTAAACAGAGGGATACTAACAACTGTAATTATGCATTTTGGAAGTTCTAGAGGTTCTGAAAATCCTGTATACAAACTGTACTGTAGACAAAAGTGTTTTTATTCTTCACATGAACATCACCTTACTTCTGTAACATATCTGATTTTTTGTAAAAGAACAAAAATATATTTTACTAAAAGCTTGTCACATTTTACATAGATACATATGGTCAACGCTTCTTTTCCAAAATGAGGTCAGTCCAGTGTAATGACCCCATGCACATACAGTAAATATTCCATCATTTGACATCATAGTGAAGATAATGAACAAAATTAAATATATGCATCTTTCTAGTATTTGTTGTTTTTTCAAAAAAGAATATAATACATAATAAAAAAATGTCTCATGTGAACGTTACAGTTTTTATGTAGTGCTTAAGTTATTAGGTTGTTTCTGTATGGAGACAAGTTGAACAGTTGCTTAAATTTATCAGTTCTCTCATCTTTCTTTTTTGTATAGTGACTGTATTGAGGCCAAGGTAACCTTTCCAAACACGAGATGTGGCCATTTCTGTCACTGGACCAAATTGAAGTCCTAATCAATGTCATAATGAGAGTCCCTGGATTGCTCATAATAGATTACTGGTGGCAGTATGACCGCAACAAATCTCTTCCACAGTCTATGGCTGCCCAAGAGTTGCTCAATGCTCTAATTACTAATCTTGGTAAGTAAGAACAGCAGGATTTTCCAATGTGACTGAAAATCAAGGATTTTAAGGATCCTTTTGTTGTCATATAAAAGAAAAAATAATATATAAAGTATGTAATTCAGGTGACAGTTATAAAGCTTAATTTTATTAAATTGCTTCACATCTATGATTTGTGTAGTTAAAACGTATTAACTGTTCATGTTCAATTCAATAGTTTTTTCTTGAACATTCTTAGAACATAAGCTTACTTTTAAATTGCAAAGTCCATGTGTTTTATCTTGTGACATGATAAACCAATTGATTTGATGAAAAAAAAGTGTACTGCACTATATGTAAATTACAAGAAAGTTAATTGTGTTTTTATTTGGTATGCAGAATGTTTATAATTACAATCAAATCTTGTTTATCATGAAATACTTTCGTATTTGTTTATTTAGTGTACAATTCTTAACTCTGTAAAGAGGGTTGAGGATGTTATTATAAAATGATTTTGGAGTCTCACCTTGTCCTGTCATGCTCTATCTGATGACCATGCATCTTGACAATAGACTTGAAATGTAGTTTGCAAAAGGCTGTGTCTTAAGACTATCAAGTTCAAGCTATCCATAATCCATCTAGTTTCTAAAAGCATGATTCAGCAGCCCAGTTATACACAAATCTATATGCACTAATGTCCAGAGACTTCACATGGAATAGCATGAACCCCCATTTCCTTCTTCATTTGCTTGAAGTATGTGACAGTTGAATGGATTAGCAATGGAAGCAACTTGTATATATGACACTTATGTTGCTTTTCTAGATGGAGATCCTTCTTCATTGTATTGTGTACTGTTGTCTCTGGCACATTGTTGACTTTTGCCACTGACCTTTATGTGCATGGATTCTCACCTTCTACAAGATGCCACACATTTCTTGTTCAAGTCTCTTTGTGAATTGTCATAGTGCCACAAGATGATACATTTTCCTTTATTTTTTAATATCATTAAATGTAAGGAATATCCCAATTTCAGAAATTCTAAGTCACCAATATGAACACACATTTATGGTCTGAGCTTATGAATAGTTTTAGGTTTTTAATTGCCAGTTTATCATTTATTCTTAGATGTTATTCATTATTGGAAATGTGTACTAAGGCAAAGTTATTTTCATCAGCAGCTATGTCACATTCCTAATCTTGGTGTTTATAGAAAATTGAAGAATTACCAGCACTAGACTTCAGATGCTAATATATACACTGCTCTAAATGAATCATGCTGGTAATTATTCAAATATTTACAAACACCTAAATTAGGAATGACCGAATTACTGACAAAACAAATTTAGCATATGTAGTTCCAACAATATACAAGATGAATAAAAGAAGCTCTGGTGATCAACAAACTAAAACATATATTGATCTAGTCAGTGATAGAAATTCTTCCACAAATGTAAGTGTATAAATATTTTGACTTAAAAAAGACTGTTACATACTCTACACAAAGGCAGTCTAATTTTGGTCTCATCACAATACCTACTGTTAAACAACAACATAAATTTATTTCTGATACATGCCATTCCTCTTGAACTTTATATAGGCTCTGGTCATCATATGACTTGATAAAATGTATCAAAATCATTTTAATATAACATACTCAACCTTGTACATCATGAAACAATGTCATATTCATTTCTTTAGTGTACAGTACTTAACTGGGTAGATCCAGTAATACTTTAACATTGATTTGTTTAGTTTACAGTACTTAACTGAGTAGACCCTATAATATTTTAATAATCATTTGTTTAGTTTTCAGTACTTAACTGGGTAGATACTGTAATAGTTTAATAATCATTTCTTTAGTTTTCAGTACTTAACTGGGTAGATCCTGTAATAGTTTAATAATCATTTCTTTAGTTTTCAGTACTTAACTGGGTAGATCCTGTAATAGTTTAATAATCATTTCTTTAGTTTACAGTACTAAACTGGGTTGACCCTATAATATTTTAATAATCATTTGTTTAGTTTTCAGTACTTAACTGGGTAGATCCTGTAATACTTTAATAATAATTTGTTTTGTGTACTATACTTAATTGGCTGGATCCTGTAATACTTTAATAATAATTTGTTTTGTGCACTATACTTAATTGTTCAGATCCTGTAATACTTTGACATTTATTTGTTTAGTTTACAGTACTTAACTGGGTAGACCCTGTAATACTTTACAGTACTTAACTGGTCTGATTCTGTAATACTTTAATATTCATTGTTTAGTTTACAGTACTTAACTGGGTAGATTCTGTAATACATTAACATTCATTTCTTTAGTTTACAGTAATTAACTGGGTAGATCCTGTAATACATTAACATTCATTTCTTTAGTTTACAGTAATTAACTGGGTAGATCCTGTAATATTTTAACATTCTTTTGTTTAGTTTACAGTACTTAACTGGGTAGATCCTGTAATATTTTAACATTCTTTTGTTTAGTTTACAGTACTTAACTGGGTAGATCCTGTAATATTTTAACATTCTTTTGTTTAGTTAGCAGTACTTAACTGTTTAGATCCTGTAATACTTTAACATTGATTTGTTTAGTGTACTATACTTAACTGTTTAGATCCTGTAATACTTTAATAATAATTTGTTTTGTGCACTATACTTAATTGTTTAGATCCTGT